TCCCTACACAGTGTCAGGAAACATTGACTAATGTGCATCATAATGTCCCGGAACATGTTCAGATTGATTGTTTAATACGACAATCATAAGGCAAAGAAAAGCAGCAAGTCCTCACAGTTGAGAAGCACAAAGTAAGTGATATTACAGCATTTTGGCTTAAAAACTGTTGTAATATACTGCAGTAAAATAATGACTAATTGGTTAATGAACTAATTGTTTCAGCTTTTCCTACCTCCAACACACAAGCCAGATACTAAGACGTACATGCACAGTCTGACCCAGGCATCCTTATGGCATTAGCCCATCTCCTTGCAAATCTGCAAGTACACAGACAGTAACTCCAGGTGGCCTGTGTAGTGTCAGTAGCAGCTTCTGTCCCTGATACTGAGCCCATTATTGCACTATAACAAAACACGCACTTATGTGCACATACACGCACTCACAGGCTATGTGTGGGATTTAACACAAGCCTCTAAGAGACCATGATTCACCTGTGCTATTTCAAGGAGGCGCCCCTTTTTTTGTAGGTTATGCTGCACATGCCACTCGTCTATTCATGGGGGTGCTAACTTATTCTATTAGTGATTTTTTTTTGTTTGGGTCTTTCCATAAGATGACTTGAAGACTAGTAAACAGAAAAAAAAAAGCCAAATACTTGTCTGTTTCAATTCTGATGTGAAGAGCTGATGATTCCCTTTGTCATATATGAGAGTAAACTGAATACCTTTGGGCTTTTGACTACTTGTCATCTAAAATAAACAATTTGAATATACCCCTTTATTAGTGGTACTAACACAAAAGACAGTGAGTTCATGTTTAATAAGGGACAACTTTCTAGTTTATATATTTTTTTTTTTCCTTGGGGAATCTGATAGTAACACTGGTTGCTGACTGAAATCTTAATGTGTTTCCATCCAACTAAGTAATAACAGTAGCCATTCATATTCACATGCACTAGCAACAAATGGCATAAATGCACTGTTATTCCACACTGATCTGATGGCACTGGACTTCCAGCTGGGGTTCTAAGCAAAATCCTTGATGTGCGAAGTTGCAATAATAAAACCACTGACAGGCTTGGTTTGACATTCCCAGCGGTCTGATTCTCCCAGGCAGAAAACCTCAATATTTTAATTTAATCCCCCAGAGCAGTCATTTAGCCACTTCATAATCCCCAGGTCCACTGCTTAGTCTGATAATTACCCTTATTGGACACCCATAATGATTAGTTTTTGGTTTCACCCAAAGCAGTGCAGGCAGTTTAACAGGGCATTCTGCAGAGTGGAAAACCAATCATGCGTGGTATAGCCTAGGTCGTAAAGAGGAGAGAGGGGTATGATTCTTACTTTGCATGGCAAGGGACAACTCCTGGACAGGTCATGATGCAAACTCTGTAACATTCCCATCTTGGCAGCTATGAACTGCAAAACAGGTGGTGGTGGTGCTGATGGTGCTCCTACTGTGCAATCAGCAATCATGTTCAGTTACATGGACACAGGTCAAAGTGGGCATCCACAGGGAATACTGCCTTCACAGAGCAACCTAACCAAACCTGGGGCATAATTTTCCAAGACTATAAATGCATAGATGTAGCAGTAATCAGGGAAAATTTAGACAGCTCACTCTTCACTTTGCTGCTGCTCTCATTTGATTTTCCCTTTGCAGTTCTTCCAACATTTCCCAACTGACAGACAGCACAAACTGCTGACATTCCCTCCGCATGCGGTGGAATAATCCCCCCAAAATGCCACAGGAAACCCTTTTTGCACATCTACCATCATGACAAGCTGCCGTGCAGAGTCCGGGAGGAAAGTGGATTCACAGCAGCACAAGCTGGTAGTTCAGCTGGTATAATCTACAGCTGGCTTGGAGGCTGAGCCTTACTGGAAAGTCATCAGTGAATTTTTTTTTTTTTTTTTTTTGTCGTCTCCATGTCTGAAACAGGTCAAGGCAGGTCCGCTCTATCTCCTTCCCTCCCTGTGCTGCTCTTTATGTGCCCCACCTGGAAGATTAGTATTCCAAAACTACAGCTACCTTTTCTGCTGTTGACACATGCACATGCACTCCAATGTGACTTCAATGCACGTACTCCTCAGACTTTGGGCTCTGCCACTTTTTTTCTCCATACCTTTATGTTAAGCCCATGCATCAAAACATATTCCACCACAAACAAACGAACAGAACAAGCATAACTTGCCACATTGTAAAAGTAACTGAAAATTCCCAGCACAGTTCCCTAATTTGAAGGTACTTACTTGGTGTTCAATTTGCCTTCCTAATGTCATCCCCATCAAGTCATCCGTATGCATCTTCTACAGTGATTTTAGTGCACAACTGTGATTTTAAAGAACCCAAATAGTTTCTTCCCTTACATTTTCTCAACACAACTAATCATACCCTAAATATATTTTGGCCAGTCAACTGGCTATAGCCCACTGTGTATACACCTAGACTATACTACTAATATGTCATATCCACATAAGGTTAATATAATTTATGTGAATATACTGTGTTAAGTGCAGGGAATGAGTTAAAATATGTTGGTGTGACTGGGTGTGTTCAGTCTTCCTGCTTTTGTGCCGGTATTTTGGGCAAAGTTTGGGCCTAAACAGTGCCTCTGTAGCCTGGCGCAAAGTCTCAACATGCTAGCTTATGTGGCAGATGCTGAATGTCAACAGTAGAAACCGAAACATATTGACTTCATTCATAAAAAGTACCCTAAGATTCCCGACGACGTAAGAAACGGGGGAAACACAGTAATGTTACGGACAAGGTGCGTTTTGAAACACAAACGAAGGAGGAGTATGTCCCGGGCAGTGGCCAAAACACGGGGCTACATGAACACCTACAAGTACGTTACACTTCCATTCGTGCTGCTCGTTAAGTCGCCTATATGAGAAAACTGAGAAAACAATTATTCCCGTCAAATACGTGAAACGGTGCTATATTAACAAAATAAAGTGTAAATGGTCTATGCCCCGCTGCAGCCCTGGATGCTTCCTTTTGGCTACAGAACAGCACAGGAAGCGGAGAAGGACGAGGAGGTGGCGGAGGAGGGTAGAAAAACTTGCCGCAGACTAATGCAGTCCCGACTCACTGGGTACAACTCGGGAAACCGCTGCCCGAATCCAAAATTACACTTCCCATGTTCCCCATCCAACCAAATACACACACTCGAAATAAAAGACTACAACTTTACCTTAGCGGCTCCACCGCCGGGAAGAGGGAAACACAAGAGTAAATGCACAACTTCCCACAGGTTGAGTTCATACGAACGGTAGGACTCACTGCTGACGACGAAGCGAAGACAAGTTCATCCACATATCCTCAGACACAACCAGAGGGTTGGAGGCGACAGGGGGGTCTGCTTTCTTGTTTCCTCCTTTTCCTAAATCGCTCTCGTTGGTTCTTTCCTCTCGGATATCCTCCTCCCTAGCCCGTTTCAGATCAAACTATCACATTCCACCGCGTCCTTAACAATGAAAAAAGGTGGGTTGTCCTTTTCGACTGTCGCAGGACCCACCCCTCGGGATGACTCTGCCCGGTCTGACCGCAAAGAGAACGCCCTTCCCGGCTGTGAGGTCCCCCCCCTCCCTCCCTCGTCCACATAATAGGTCTGTCCGGTGAGGAGGAATGAATCCAAGCTGAGGTTGTGTAGATAGTCCGACTATTTTAATATACTCCGAGTTAACCTCTCTCTCTCTCTCTCTCTCTCTCTCTCTCTCTCATACACTCTTATACACACACACACACACACACACACACACACACACACAGCAATATATCTCTAAAACAACAGTATGGACTTTCTGACACAGCTTGCTCTAGGCCCAAACTTTAATTTGCATCGAACCCTTATGTTGTCTGGATTTTGTAAATATGACTTATTATGAACTACACATTATAGGCTATTAATGATGGTTAAACCTCTGATGTAAAAGGTTGTTGTCTGCTTTCACAGCCATAGACTTCAACATAATACACTGCTCCACTTTGTTTCCCGGAGTCTCTACAGAAACAAATAAACTCATCCTGGTGTAACACATCATTTGAGTGGTATAACCTGCTGGCACACAAAACAACCTTTTCAAAGTAGACTTTTTTCTTTTTTGAAAGGTTTACTTTTAGAATCATAAATTAATATTATCAAAGATCAAAGATTTTTATTGTCAAGTCACTATATGTGCAGGACATACAGAAAAATCGAAATACTGTTTCTCTCTCACCTAAAGTTGAATGGCCATACCATTTAAGAAACTAAAATAGAATAAAAGTAGAATAAACAGAATATAAAAACTGAGTTCAAGTAATAAGGATAAACTAGATGGTACAACCTAATAAGCTATGATGAAACTCAAACCCATGTGCAAACAGTGACAGTAGTGCAAATAATAACAAGAAGATTCTCAGGTGGTCAGCATCACCAGGGGCGTTGGTGATGGGACGCGTAATAGCTTATGAAATGTACACAGACAGCAGTGCAAATGACCAACAGCAGCAGATATGACCGTAAAAAAGAACAGTCAGCTGTGGATTTACCTGTAATATAACAAAAAGGGGGGATGTATTGAGTTTGTGCAAACAGGAGGGGTAGTCTTTTTATATTTTTTTTATCTCAAAGATGTGTACCCCCAGGAACTTGGTGCTGCTCACTCTCTCCACTGCAGCCCCGTCGATGGTCAGTGGTGGATGCTTTAGGGGTTTTCTCCTGAAGTCCACAACACTCTTTTTAGTCTTCCCCACATTGAGGAAGAGGTTATTGTCCTTACACCACTGTACCAGTTGACACACCTCACTCCTGTAGTTGGCCTCATCATTGTTGGTAATGAGGCCAACTACAGTTGTGTCATCTGCAAACTTGACAATGTGGTTGGTGCTATTCAAATTAACATCTGTAGGAATTTGTTGGAGAAGCTGAAGGATACAGTTACTGGACATCAAAAGCCCCGTGTACATGGATGACCTTGACAGTGTCAATGTAACAAACAATTGTGTGATTAAATACTTGTGGTAATTTCCACAGTCAAGCTTTTGTTTCCCCCCTGTTTAAATATCCCTCCTTCTCAGAAGACCACACTGTTCCAATCATATCACTTGACATGATGGGTGAAAAGTTGGGGAAAAGGCCAAAGATACTGATTATTCAAAGAGAAATTAAATCCTTTAAGAAGCTGCTGCAAGCTAAAGGCATAACCAGGCATGCCCTGACACCTGAAATATGCAACAGGCAAGCCAAGCACAGGTGTATGTGAATAGGTATTTGAGTACTAGCCAACTTCTCCTTAAACAATCTGCATTTCTCTTATGTTAATGCAAATAGTGTTGGAGACAGCTATTAGGAGATGACAATGTGGGCTTATTCCTCATGTTTCAGAGCTGCTGGTCTGCTGTAGACATTAAACCAACCTTAGATCTATGAAGAAGCATTGCACAAAAAAATCCATCAGGGTAATAGAACGAGTGAGATGACATGTAAGTAAGAACAGGCATGGAAAATGCCCTTTTTTATGAGGATGTGTAGCGGTCATGTTTCATCCATCCTGAGAGGTTTGTTTCATGCACAGACAAGTTTCTGCCATTTAAGGAATTTGCCTTAATACATCAAATGTTATAAATGCAAATGCATTGTACAGATTGCAGTGTAGTGCATAAGGACAAGGTTACAGGGAGTGTAATCTCCTACAGTGCATACTGTGGGACACGCAGACAAGCTGATTCAGGAAGAGATGTGTTCTAGCCACCATCCTTCCTAATCACAGACATCCTTCACCAGTCAGTGGCTATAACTTTTATGTTCCATTAAGAATTTGTGGATGAACAGCACAGATCACCATCAAAGCAGGTTGTCTTTCAAGGGGAGGCCCAAATGATTTTTACTGTTTGCATTTCACATTTCAGGTACTTTATCTCATCCAGAGCAATTTGCTGTCACTGCAACTGCAGAGTAATCTCTAATAATCCTCTACAGATTACCACAGTTACAAGCAGCCAATAGTCCACAGGGCATGTATCAGGTCAGTAGTCACCTAACAATATACTTTTGACTCCAAGTAAAATGAGAATAAAGGAGAAGGATTTTATGTCGCAGTATGGCTTATACCAGGGCTTTTATACTTTAGGTGGGGTGAAAGGATTAATGTGCTTAATTCACTGTACTCTCAGAGCGGGTTAAGACTAGTATTTGGACAGATGTAACCCTGAAGGATCAAAATATGGGGCAGCTTGATACTATGTAGAGAAACATGCACTTATCTAGTACCATCAAGCACTGACAACTTTGTGCAACAACATATAGCCTCACATCTATGTAATGTGCTGAACACATGCTATGCTTGAAGAGCGGCACCTTTCAAACGGCCTCACTTGCACAATATTGTCATCTTGATAGCTCCAGTAGCTCATACTGAGTTTGGATATTTGAGGTTTTTATGTGGTAATTTGAAAATGCACAGAACATTCCAGGTGTGACAGAGAGAGAGAGCTCCAAATCCTTTGATAGGTATAAAGAACTTCCTGTCTCACTGTCAGGTCCTATATTGTGCTGAAGTACAGATGCCTCAACCTCTCTCACTCATCCTGCTATGACTTTTTTTTTCTCGTCGCAGGGGGGCATTCCTCAGACCTCAGCCTCTGGCATGCAGCAAATATGCCTGAGACCGAGATCTACACTCTCTAGTCTGCTGGGCAAGATGTGCAGCCAAATACTAAATAATTCTCAGCCTCATACTTTGTTTTTGTGCTCCTGAAGTGGCCTGAGCATACAACAACAGCCTACCCTGTTGCAAAATATCCCACTAGGTTGTTTCATGTCTGCCAGAGGCAAAGAGCCATACATCAAGGTGAGGTGAAGGAGCAACCATGAAAAGGTGTTAATGAGACAAGAAGAGTTTCACACAGGCAGCTCCCTCCCTTCCTGCCTCCCTAAGGAATGTGTGACTTTGACTTCTGACTACACAGCTCTTCCAGGCTGATAGCTAGCTTTGTCACTAAAAGGAAAAAGCTGCTGAGGTGCTGGCAGCATCCCCCCCCTCCCCCTCTCTGCACACCTGGACTGAAAGTACAACCACTACTTGAAAACAAGGATTTTTTTGGACTGACTTATTCAGCAGTGCATAACATCAGGGATCACCTGCATCGGTCTGTATCTGATTATTTTCCCATTCTTTCCGGGCCATTTAAAGGACATACAGAGGAATTTATCTGAGAAAAGAAATCAGGGGTCATGCAGGCAGGAGCTAAAAAGCAGCAAGAGTTTATGAGGCATATCACTACTGTGAATGTAACATGGAACATCTATGTTTGAATGCAATAGTTATTTAACATTACACTATAAACGATGCAGGTGAGTTCAGCTTTAAATAATAAAGGTTTCTTTGTTGTTTTAACTGAACTAGCAAAGTCTTTTGAGACTGGTGTTGATCCACCTGAAGGACATGACAGGTTCACTGCTGGATTCTCTGCAATTTACATAGCAAATGATCTTGTCAACATGGCACTGCAGCACCTCGACTCCTCAGGGTCCCATGCACTGGTCCTCTTTGTGAACACCATCATGCCAGACATCCTCCACTCCAGATTCACCCAGCTTATTGTGCCCCTGCCTGTGAGTGGATCACCAGCTGTCTGACAGTCAGGAGAAGGCTGGGGAGGATCACATCCAGCACCCGGTCAGTCAGCATAGTATTAGCTGTTCATTTCAAGTCATGACAACAAGTTTAAGTCTGAAAACTAGAATCTTTTTGGTTGAATTAGTTAATAATTATAATGAAGTTAATTATAAACTTAATTGCTGTAATATGTTTAACCTGCATAGATTATTGCTAAAAACTGTTATTCAAAAACAGCTTCACTTTCCCCAGTCTCACATAAGTTGCCCTCTATTTCTTGACCAAGACAGATTTCAGTGACTTGCTGTGGAATTTTTCCAATGTCCACCTAAACCAAGAGCAACAAGATGCATGTGAAAAGATTTTTACAGTGTAAGTTTGTATATCCAGCAGTGGCGCAGCATGTCTGGTGGTCGTGCAGAACATAGCCACCATAAACCTCTGCTCTCCTGATCCACCACCAAGCCATAATAACAGCAATAGGGTTGAAAGGGGCTTGTTAACCTTAATCTAGGAATTACACTGTGGCACCAGGGAGAGGAGGACATGTTGTGTTGTATGCTTGTATATAGGAGCTGAAATTAAACATTACCACATGCATGCAAACACACACACACACACACACACACCAAGTGGTAGTTCATGCAATTCACACAGTGCTATACGAACCCTTACTTGAACTAAAATCACCCCACCTCTGTGCATTTTTGCAAACGTGAGGCCTTTGCTCTTTTTTATTAACCTCTTCCTCCCCCGTGTGTTTAAAGCACATTACTGCAGACATCTGACGGACCAAAACAGCAACCAGTTTAAATCCCCTGACGCTGTTAAATTCACAAGAATTCATCTGGATAATGTTGATGGTAAATCATAGCACTACTTTTAGATGTGATGCTTTAAGCACAGCTTAATTCATTTTCCAACAAAACCCTGACTTTTACTGAGTAGTGTCTTCAGATATTTATCTTGGGCTGCACACAGCTCCAGCAGCTTTCAACCTTTGGCTATGGTAGCCTGTGAATACCCTGAGAAGTGAAACCCAGGGTGCAAGTAAGAATTGGCTGGACAATAAGAAGACAGGGTTCAGAGAAATGAGAGGGGAAATGAGAGGGTGTGTTCCCTTATTGCCAGTAGAAATTATGCCCTTGTATTTGTCTATTTTGGCATTAATGTTTAAAAGCGTTTATATAGGTCTAGTGTATATAGTGTACCAACATCATGGGGACAGTGAGCGCTTAAAAATAACAATTGCACTTCAAAATGTTTGTGCATATCCCCCATGGAAAGTGAACAAAGACGGCATAACAACATAACATAACATATATTAACCATTAGCCTCATCATAAACTTGGTGATTCATTGTCATCATTCTGGCTAATATCCTCAGTCTTGCTGAGGAGATATAAACATCTGACAGCATGTAAATTAGGCCTAGAGACCTTAAATAAATAGTAGTGTGGGAATTAATAAAAAAATAAAACTTAAGCAACCGTTTATTTATTTATTTATTTTTTGGTTTCAAGGAACTATTCCTGAGGGGATGTTTAAAATCATACAATCATACAGAAAATGTCTTAATAGTTTTATAATACATAGAAAATGTGTGATAATTGAATAAAAAGAAAGTAAATATTCAAAAATATTCTAAAGGGAAATTAGACACGTTTCACATTATTGGCCTTGTCACTCAGAACAATAACAACATGTTTCTATGAACGGAGGAAACAAAGGTCACCTCTAAAATTCCGACCTTGCTCCAAATCGGACACCTCCCGTTCAGACTGACAGAAACAAGCCTATACAAGTTTGAAGACTCCTATTGCAACATGCGGGGGTTTCCTAATAAGGATGCAAGACGTTCACACCTCTTTCGTCCAGATCTTTAAACATCCGCTCTCCCACTCTGTCACACACTCGCGATCCGACAGGGTGCGCGCAGTTTAACACGCTTTTACATTATTGCCACAGGCATTCACAGCGTTCACATCCCAAGAGCGATTAGAAGAAGTAGCCTGGTAAGTAGACAGCTTGTGAGTGACTCTTTTATTGTTTGTTTTTAAAAAGTACGAAATATTAAAGCATATAGATTAAAAAAAGCAGCGCCAAGAAAAGCCATTATTGAAAGGAAAGCTGAGTTTTAATAGAATAATAATTTTTACTTTCACCAAATTAGGGCAATTTATCTCATTATGTGTGTGTGTGTTTCTCTGATTTTCAAACAAATTACTTGATTTGGGATTTTCTGGAATTCATCTCTAAGTCAACATGACAAACTAAACAAAGTATATATGAATCATCCAGCATCTGTCCATTTATAGGATGACTAACCAGCAAGCATTCCACTGAAATCTCTGTCTTATTTGTTGGAAATAATACTTTCCTATGGGTGTGTGTGTGTGACAGATTACTTCTGTGTCATCTGTAAACTTAATTCAGAAAGGTCCCCTGAGGTGCAGTCATTGGTGTAGAGAGCATTCAGTCCACTGATGGAGGGTTTCTTGGGAATCAAAGTGATGGTGGAGCATTTGAAGCAGGAGGGGACTTCACATTTCTCCATTGATGTGTTAAAGAGCTGTGTGAAATGGGGGCCAGTTGATCAGCACAAGCTTTCAGGCAGGAGGGAGTCACACCATCTGAGCCTGGTGCCTTCCTGATCTTTTGGTTTAAAAAAAAAAAAAAAAGCCACACACATCCGTTTTACATATCTTCAGGAGTTGGGGGCTGGGGAGGTGAGGTGGGTGAAGGGAGTTCTGCTTGTTGTCGTTGTATGTACAGAAGGTCTTGGTGGGCACGCACATCCTCACAAAAGCTGATATAAGATGTAACAGTGCCAATGAGTTCATCCAGGTCTATAGACGCAGCGTCAGATACTGTACGCTCCAGTCTGTGCAGTCAAAGCAGGCCTCTATCTCTGACTTTGCCTGCTCAGTCCATCACTTCACTGTTTTGATCACAGGCTTCACAGCTTTAAGTTTATGTGTTAGGATGATAAGGACTATGCAGTGATCAGAGTCCAAAGGCTGAGTGATAGGTGTGTTTTATTAGCGGGTAGTAGTAGATACATGGGAGTGGCATTCAGGTCAATCTCTGTTGTAACTTAACCAGGGCCCCTGCTCTCTTCCCTCGCCAGCATTTTCTCCAAGTTCCATAGAGGGATGCTGCCCCTCCAACTGAAATGACTACACACAGCATTTTACATCAGCAAAAATCAGAGAAAGTATGTTTGGAGTGAGATGTATGATGTTTAGGGGCTCTTCTCTGGTGAAGGTCATCTGGGATGGGTTGCAGAAGACGGGGAAATATAACAAACACGAGACAGCACATCAGATTTGTGGGATGTGGTTTTGCATTAGCTTAAGTCATGTGAGAAATGTGAGAAATGCTGAAATTGGAGCTCATCTGCCTCCTCTGTTTCTGATGAATCATCCCAGTTTTAAATCTTCATGACGTCGGTAATAAACCTTAATGGTCACAAATAACTAATTGTCAAATGATTGTAATTCTCAAAACACTGTGTACAGTTCCTTTTTATATAATAAAATAATTTCTAGTTGATTAATTCAAATGTATAACTGCAAACAACAATTAAAATAATAATCCAGTGATAAACTGAGTTTGTCTGGGTGACTAAACTGGATCACAGGGCTTTTCTGGTCTACTGTACATGTTCACCAACATGTTCACTGTGCAATCCAGCTATCACAGCCTATTGTGAAACTCGACATGAAGATCAGACAGGTGAAACCTGATCCTTAGAAACCTGTGAATAAACTGCTGAAACTGGTGTTTGTATGAGAGGATTTGCTGTAAGGGATATCTGACTTTGTTATCAATATTTGTGTTACAAGCATTGGATTGTAAAAAACATTGTGTAGCTTTATTTATTGACCTCTCTAAGGCTTTTGATACTGTGGATCATGTATTACTGATTAACTCGTTGTTAAGGATTGGTTTGTCGGAGGGAGCGATCCCTTGGTTTAGGAATTATCTTTCAAATAGGAGGCAAGCTGTCCAATTGGGAGGTTCTTCCTCGTCTTTTTTAGAAATATTAAAAGGGGTGCCGCAAGGCTCGGTCCTTGGACCAATTTTATTTTCTATTTATATTAACAATGTGTGTGATAATCTTACAAATGCTATGTATCACTTTTATGCGGATGACACAGTAATTTATTGTTGCTCTTCTACACTTGCCCAGGCGGCAAAATGCTTACAACATGCATTTGACATTGTTCAGTTTCGCCTACGGTCACTGAAGTTGGTCTTAAATCCTAAGAAATCTAAGGTTATGGCATTTTCGCATTTACAGGAGCTATCAACAGATACTCTGTCAATAACAACAGATCGGGGAGTGTTGATTGAGCTGGTTTCCAGCTATAAGTACTTAGGTTTTTTACTTGATTCTGAGTTGTCTTTTAAAACCCACATTGCTAATGTGGTTCGAAAATTACGGATGAAGATTGGATTCTTTTATCGTAATAAATCCTGCTTTTCCTTGCAGGCACGCAAATATTTAATATCAGCGACCTTTCTTCCCCTGTTGGATTATGGTGATGTACTGTATATGAATGCCTCAGCTAGATGTCTCCATTCTTTAAATGTGGTTTACCACAGTGCCTTGAGGTTTGTGACGGGTTGTAGTCGACTAACGCACCATTGCGACCTGTATGTTAAAGCACAGTGGTCGTCTCTGAGCATGCGAAGACATGTTCATTGGATGGTGCTAGTGTACAAGGCTTTGGTAGGCCTAGCTCCGGCATACTTATGCTCTCTTTTACATAGATCGGATACCAAATATCCCTTACGGTCTTGTGATAAGTATCAGCTCATGGTGCCGAGAGTTCGGACCGAAAAAGGGAAACGGGCTTTTGGATTTGCCGCTCCCTCTTCGTGGAATAGTTTCCAAGCAGATTTTAAACTTACTGAATTATGCTCAGTTAAAGCTTTTTATTCTCTTATGGCTCTTAGGCAACAGGACTCTATTGGTCAGTGTATGTGTTTTTAAATTGGTTATATTGTTGATTATTGTATTTATGGTTTTGATTGTTTAAATGTTTAATGTTTTGATTTGTATTGAAACTTATGTATTGACGACATGTGTTGTTGACCTCTTGGCCAGGTCACCCTTGTAAAAGAGATCATGATCTCAATGGGTTTTTTTACCTGGTTAAATAAAGTGAAAGAATATAGTATATGTGAGCCTGACAATCAAACAAAAAACTCAGTTATGCTAACACAGTTCCTGTAACATTTAATTGCCTCATCTTAAGCAATGGTAGAGAGACACAGATGAAGTCATTTACCTTTGACACATAACTTAAAGGATTTCAGTGAGTGATAAATGAAGTGTTGTGTATAAAATGGGTGCTGTTAATGTTTTTAGTTGCACAAGTGTTTCAGAAAATGTACTTAAGCCATAAATAAGTGATAAGAAAATTAACCTCCGCAAGCAATCTCCCTTTCTTAACATAACTCTTTTAGACAGAAATGACAGGTGTTTATTTCTAACCCATACCCCAACTTCTTTGTCCTGATATAAACATCAAACTCTTTTAGACTATAATTCTGATTCAGTTGCTGCTCAAGTATACTCTGAATTAAAAGCACCATCAGAATGTTTTTGATGTAAGTGGACTTATACAGGATACACTGATGTTAATATGTTTTGTCTCACACAGACATGTTGGCATCAACCACGGAGCGAGCTGGTGTGACAGGACCCTCTGACCCAACCTTCCTGGACTCGGAGTTTCGTTATGTCCTCTTCTCAGTGGTCTATGGCATCATCTTTATCCTGGGCATCTTTGCTAACCTCTACGTACTGTTTGTCCTGCGCAGGCTCCGTGAGGCCAAGGCCATGGGCGAAATCCGCATCTACATGGCCAACTTAACAATCGCTGATCTCCTTTTCATCTCCGCCCTTCCTTTTTGGATTGGCTATTATAGTCGTCGAGGTGACTGGATCTACACAGACTTTATGTGCCGGCTAGCCGGCTCGTTGTTCTTCATCAACACCTACTGCTCCATCCTCTTCCTTGGAGCCATCAGTGTCAACCGGTACTGGGCGGTCACTCGACCTCTGGACGCGGCTTCCTCAGATCACAGGTACCGTGGGATCATCGTATGTGTTGTCATTTGGGTGTTGACCACATTGATGACTATCCCCTCTCTGGCAAGTCCAGGGACTAACACTAATAAGAATAACATCACTCGCTGTTTTGAGGGGTACCATAATAGAACAGATCCAGAGAAGAAAGCAGTGGCTGCCATGCATTTCGCAGTCATCGGAATGTTTTTTGTTGTCTTTATTCTTGTCGTGGTGTGTAATTTCCTTATTGCTCGAGCGTTACTCTATCAAAATCCTCCTCAGTCAGAACTCAAATCTGCTACAATTCTATCCAGAAAGTCCAACAGGAGCCTGGCCACTGCTGCAAAGCCCAGAGGTGTGAAACGAAGGGCTCTGCAGATGTTGCTGGCAGTAGTGGGAGTGTTCGTTCTGTGTTTCCTGCCCCACCATGTAGTTCAAGGCCCCTGGACACTGGCTGTGTTGCAGATCAAACAGGGTTGGGGCCACACGGACTGGGACCAGGAGACTCTTCAGGCGCTCAATGATGCACATCAGATCACCTTGGTTCTTATGGGCTTCAACTGTATTTTGGATCCTGTAGTTTATTTTTTTGCCACAAGGAAGTTTAGAAGGTTTATCATGACCCAGATGAAAAAGATAGGAAGGGGAGATGCGTGCTCACAGACAGTCACCTCTCAGCTGTCCATAGACAGCAGGAACCACAGCCAGAGGCTCCAGGGCGAGAACCTACAGGTGGAAGTGAATTGATTCTTACATTTAAATACAATATTCTGCAGCTACAGTCAGCTGGCAGTTTATCATGTACAGTTTGCTAAAATAAATGCAATCTAACACAACAGTCCTGCAACAGTCCTTTATGAAGGTTGCAATGTTTAATTTATTAAAGACTGTTTTTGAGAGCTGTTGATTCGACTGTAGGATCATTTTGGAAGCTGGAGTTTGTGCTGCTGTTGAACTGTACTGCCTTATACAGAGATGTGTACATAAGCACAAACTACATCTTCAACAATAATCACACGGTTGAATAAACTCTACAAAACAAGTTCCCCAAACAAGTTCCCCAACAACCTAAAGCCTGTAAACCTCATGAAGAAAGGCTTTAGGACTGTTGTACTGCACGTCATTAGTTTAAAGGCTTTATTCTATTATAAAGCCTCGTCCGGTTCTTTCAAACCAGGAACTCAGAGGGACGACTCAGACCACTTGAGTATATAAAAAATATAACCGTGCTGGTTTATTCAAAGAG